CAGCAGGATCCCTCGTAGGGGGGTGCAGAGGTTCCAGTGAGGCAGGAGAGAGCTGTCCCCCAAATCCAAGGGTGTCCCTGGGGAAGCTGGAGCTGTCACTGGGAACTGCCCTTCTGTGACTCCCATGGACTCAGATCCTGGCTGCTGGGCTCTGCCCTGGGGGGCGAGGGAGGGAATCCCAAACTCCTGAGGGGGTTTCCAGGCTGCTGCTCTTTCCCTGAGAATGGAGCCCCGGAGCTCCAAGGAAGCGCGGGGTTAATTCAGAGAGCCCAAATCAATCGCCCTTCTCCCCTCCCCGAGCTGTGAATGGGGTCAAGGAGATTTGGGAGGGGAGGGGGTCAGGAGAGGTCAGGTGAGTGTTCCATTCCATCCCGAGGAGCCTGCCAGAGCTATTCTCCATGGTGCATTTCCCATTCAGCGGCGCTGAATGGACACTGATAGCTGTGAAAGGCCCTGGCTGCTCTGAGCTCTCTCCCCCTGAGCTCTGTGCCACCCTTTCTTCCAAAGGGCTTCAGGGAATTCATAAAGAGCCCCTCGGAAGGTTGGAAATGTCACGTTGGGGTTGTGAATGGGAACTGTTTGCCTGTCCCTCTCTCTGGGTGCCATTCATGGGCAGGGAGGGTGAGGATCTGAATCACCTGGGCACTGCTGGGTTGGAGCAGCCTCACCTCAGCCAAGGGATTTCCTTTCCTAAGGGAATAAGGCAGCCCTGGCAGGTCAGGAATAATTAATAATAAAATTATCAAATGGTTTGGGGGTTGTAAGGGATCTTAAATCTCATTTTGTTCCACTCCCTTGCCACATGCAGGGACACCTTCCACTATCCCTGGCTGCTGCATTCTGGGCTTGGACACTTCCAGGGATGGAGCAGCCACATTTTCTTTGGGAAACCTATTCCAGTGCCTCAGCATCCTCACCCTGAACCAAATTCCCTGCTGTCTGATCACTGCTGTTTGTTGAGCTGTGGAGGAGGTGCACAACCACTACAAATCAAAGCCTACAGCCACATCCAACATCATCTCTTGGCCCCTCTGCACCAGCAGCAGAGATTATGGAGTAGCAGGACATGGATTCTTCCAGGAATAAATGAGTTTTTCTCTGCCAGGTAAGTACACCCACATTTTGTCTTTAAAATAACCAGCCCTCCTCTTCACTCTAAGCACTGCCAAGTTGTGATTCCCTCTAAGACCCTGTGTTGGGAAGATTTAGGAGACTGGGAGGAGGAGAGGCTTCTTTGTGTGTGTCCGTCAATGCCCTGCACATCCACCTTTTCCAGGTGGTTTTTCCTGAAAGCTTCCCTGGCTTCACCCTCTCTGCCTTTGTCCAGCAAAGCTTTGCTCCTGCCCTGGACCCGCCCTCCTACCTGGCTGCCAGGTGAGGCAGCCTCTGGGAGTTGATCTGCTGTTTCTCTGCAGGGAAAGGGCAGGAAAAATTAGGTTTGCAAACTTTAAAAGCAAACCAGAAAGGTTTAAAAGCAAAAAGTGGCTTTGAAGGTAGTTTGGCTTTTTTAAAAGCAAACCAGAAAGCCGTGGGTTTGAGATGGTTTGGGTTTTTTAAAAGAGAGCCGTGGCTTTGGAGATGGTTTGGGTTTTTTACAAGAAAGCTGTGGGTTGGAGATGGTTTGGGTTTTTTAAAAGAGAGACGTGGGTTTGAGGTGGTTTGGATTTTTAAAGGAAAAAAGGGTTTGAGATGTTTTGGCTCTCCCTGGGGAGGGAGGAGGAAGAGCAGCAGCTGATGTCCCATGGCATGCCAGCTCTGGGAGCAGCTGTGGGACAGCCCCACATGTGGCTCCCTTCTGCTCCTGAGTGCTGGAAACCTCAAAAAATCCCTTTTTGGGGACTGCTGCTGTCCTTGTCAAGGTGCTCCAACCCTGTTCCTGTTGTGGGAATTTGGGGAAATGAGGCTGGAGGGTGAGAAGTGCCAGTGCCACCTGCACCAGCTGCCCCCATGGGGCTGGGGAATGTTCCCCAAATCCCTCTGGGGTGGGCAGGGTGCTGCCAGCTCCCCTGGGTGAGTGAAATGCTGCTGTTCCACCAGGATCTCCAAGTTGGGAATGGATTTTCCTGACTCCTTCCATGCCAGAGCAGCACAGTCCAGGGCATAAACCCCCCTGGGAAAGATTGGATTAGGGGTTTGAGGAGAGGGTGTTTGGTCCTGCTGCTGCTGGGGCTGTCACTCAGGGCCAGCAAAGCTGCAGGGACATCTTGTTGCCTTTAAAAACAAAATACCAACCCCACGTGCTAAATCTCTGCTGGAGCACCAGCAGATCAGCAAATGAGGGTGATAAATGTGAATTTTTGGGCAAAATTCAGGTGTGAGCCCAGAGCTGGGGTTTCCTCAGGGCAGCACCTGTGAGGGGGTGCCAGCAGTGTTTGCTCAGGCTCAGCGAGGGGCCCGGGCACAGGAGTGGCACGGTGACAATAACGCTGCTGTTATCAGCAGAAAGGGAGGGCCCTGAAACCAAACCTGTGCTGGGTTCCACCTCTGCTGCCCTGCAAACTCTGCAGCAGCTTCTGCTGAGCGCCTGGGCTGGGCTGCAGGGAGCACCTGCAGGTGAGTCCTGGCTCCCTGAGCCTCCCAAACCTCCCTTTCCCAGCCCCTCCCTCGCAAATCAGCAGTTCAGGTGATTCCCCTGCCCAGCACAATTCCCTGTCTCTATTCTGTAGGAAAAAATGAAAAGAGTAATGAATGGGTATTGGGATGAAGTTCAGCTCAAACAGGAAAGTTCATCATCTGCTGCAGTTTTATCTACAGCTTTATTGCAGTTGAGACTTCTCATCTCTGGCTGTTCATGATTATTGATTGCTTCAGGGATTTACTTTCTCCTTGAAGCCCTCGGAGAGTGTGGAGGGGGAGGAGAGGTCTGTTCCTACCTGCAGATAAGAAATCCAGCTCTGCCTCCCAGCTGGAATTCTCAGGCATTGGACAGACCCCTGCTGCCGCCCCAGTGCTCTGCCACAGCAGCAAAAGGGAAGAAACCAACTTCTAATCTGTGTGAGGCATCTTTCACTGGGTGTTTGGGGTTTCTTTTGGGGTAACTCCCCCTCTCTGAGTTCTCCAGACACAGATCACAGCAGGCAGTGGACATTACATCCCCCTCTGAGGTCTGAGTGTCTTGGTTAATTTTCCTTGTGACTCTGGGAGCTGCTGGAGCTGAAATTCCCCATGCCGGGGCTGTGCTCCAGCTGGGCCCCCCCGACCGAGCTGGGCTGACACATCCTGTGTGGAACCCACATCTGAGCAAGGTGGGCGCTGCCCCCGGCGCTTCCTGGGCTGAAGGGATGCTCAGCCCAGCCCAGGCTTCCTTTGAAGCTGCCTCTGGTGATTAAAGCAAAACCGTTCCCCCTTTGTTTGCTGTTTGACCTTGGGCGAGGCGGTTGTTGAAAGGAGGGATCTTGTGTGACAGTTGAGGGGAAGTGCAGGGTCCCCAAAGGGGAATAATCCCTATTTATTGAGTGGCACTGGCAGCTCCTGAGCTCAGGAGTGGCACTTTCCAGCACTGAGAAAGTGATGGAGTGACGGCTGAGCCTCATCCCCACCCTGCCAGCCTCCCCCTCGTGGGTTATCAGCTGATGGTGACAGAGAGAGAGAAAAGTGACAAAACTCTGGGGTCTGTACCTGCCTGCACACACCTGTGCGGTGATGGAGGGCAGGGGGGGCTCAGGGGGCACTGATCTCACCAGGCCACTTCCCCCAGGTGTTTTTAGCAACTTTTGCTGGGCTGGGTGCTGGGGAGCTTGGAGGGTTTCTGTCATTTGGGACTGAGAGGCATCTGCTCCCTGGTGCCCTGGCTGCTCAGCCCCTGGCCCCATCCCCTGGCCTCTCCCCTCCAGAGAGGCTGGAGAGAAGGGAGCAGTTACAGGGCAAATAAATGACTCAGTCTAATGAGTAAGGTAATTGCCATTTGCTGTTAGATGAGGCTAAAGTGGGTCAGGTTTGTTTGTGAAACTCCACGGAGGCACCGACTGTTCTCCGTGCCCCATCCCGGGCTGGAGGTGGCATTTGGGTGAAATCGCTTCCCCCGGAGCCTGGGAGCAGCACGGGGGTGTCCTGGTCAGCAGGCAGGGCCCTGGTGGCCTCTGGGGATGAGCCCGTGTGGCTGCAGGCACTCCCCTGATCCTTGGAGGGGGCTCTTGAGTGATTTCCCTGTGAGAGGAGACCCCAAATCCTCTGTCTCTCTGCCATCTCCGCGAGGTGGCTGGACAGGACACAGAGGTCATCAGTCCTCGAGGGCAGGATTGGGTTTTCCCCAACACTGTCTCAAAAAAAACCAGGATTGGGTTTTCCCCAACACTGTCTCAAAAAAAACAGGATTGGGTTTTCCCAAACCCTGTCTCACCTGTCACAAACCCTTGGGGACAAACCTGGCAGGGATGGAACTTTCATCCTCTCACCTGCCCCTCTTCTGGACCCTCCCCAGCCTGTCCCTTTCTGTGGTGACACATCCGTGTGGCCCCTGGTTTTACCCCACAATCCCTCAGGGACAAACCTGGCCAGGATGGAGCTTTCATCCTTCCACCTCTCCTGTCCCCTCCTCAGCCTGTTGGGATGGGCACTGTCCCTTTCAGCAGTGACACATCCATGTGCCCCTGGTTTTACCCCACAAACCTTTGGGGACAAACCTGGCCAGGATGGAACTTTCATCATTCCACCTTCCTGGCCTGATGGGATGGGGACTGTCCTTTCAATGGTGACACATTAGTGTGGCCCCTGGTTTTACCCCACAATCCCTTAGGGACAAACCTGGCCAGGATGGATGGAACTTTCATCATTCTACCTTCCCGGCCTGTTGGGATGGGCACTGTCCCTTTCAGCAGTGACACATCCATGTGGCCCCTGGTTTTACCCAGTTCCCTGCTGTGTTTAACTCCCCACAGACCCCAGCCTGTGAGCAGCAGGGGAAGCCTGCAGTGGGATCCCTGCTGGGCTCTCCACATCCCACAAGAAGAGGAAGAGGAAAAGACGGTTCCTTCGCCGTTGATAAAATGGGAAGCAGCATCTCCCCAGCAGCCCGGGACGGGAAGCTGCAGTCCTTGCCTGGGGGGCGTCCCTGGGAGCTGTGCAGCTGGCAGGACACAGCCCTGTGCCACTGAGGGCTCGGGGTTGGGGACAGCATGTCCTTCCAGAGCCGCAGGACCCAGCTGCTGCTGGTCAACTCGCTGACCTTCGGGCTGGAGGTGTGCCTGGCTGCTGGCATCACCTACGTGCCACCGCTGCTGCTGGAGGTGGGCGTGGAGGAGAAGTTCATGACCATGGTTTTGGGTAGGCAGCTTTGTCACCTCTCTGAGGTGGTTTTTTTTTTTGTTTTAAACCTTGCAGTCTGGAGGGTGGGGGTGAGCGAGGGCAGGGAGAGTTATCCCTGCAGGGGCTGTGACCCACTGAACCCTCCCAAACTGACCAAACATCCCCTTTAGGAGCACACAGGGACCAGCTGTGTCCCTGTAACACCCCCTGTCTCTTTCCCAGGGATAGGCCCTGTCCTCGGGCTGGTTTTTGTGCCCCTGATCGGCTCGGCCAGCGACCACTGGCACAGCAGCTACGGCCGCAGGAGACCTTTCATCTGGGTGCTGTGCCTGGGCGTGCTGCTCAGCCTTTTTGTCATCCCCCACGCCAGCAGCCTGGCCAGCCTGTGTGCCCTCAACCCCCGGCCTCTGGAGATCGCCTTCCTCATCGTGGGCATCGGGCTGCTGGATTTCTGTGGCCAGGTGTGCTTCACCCCTCTGGAGGCCCTGCTCTCCGACCTCTTCCAGGAGCCGGACAACTGCCGCCAGGCCTTCTCCGTGTACGCCTTCATGGTCAGCCTGGGGGGCTGCATCGGCTACCTGCTGCCCGCCATCGACTGGGCCTTCCTGGCGCCCTACCTGGGAGGCCAGCAGAGCTGCCTCTTCAGCCTGCTGGCCCTCATCTTCCTCGGCTGTGCGCTGGCCACGCTCTTTGTGACAGAGGAGGCCGCGCAGGGGGATGTCGCGGGCGGGCCGGCGCCCAAGGACGCGTCCGCAAGGGCGGCGCTGTGCTGCTGGCGGCGGGGGCCGTGCGCGCCGCAGGGCCGGCGGCTGCTGCAGGCGGGCAGGAAGCTGTGCCTGCTGCTGCCGCGGCTGCACGGCCTCTGCTGCCGCGTCCCCAGCGCCATCCGCCGCCTCTTCGTGGCCGAGCTCTGCAGCTGGATGGCTCTCATGACCTTCATGCTGTTCTACACGGATTTTGTCGGGGAGGGGCTGTACCACGGCGTGCCCAGGGCCAAGCCGGGCACCGAGGCCAGGCGGCACTACGATGAAGGTGAGGAGTGAGGCAGGGAGGGAGTCAGAGGCTCCGGTCTTCAGTGGGGAATCAGAAGGTGAAACAGAGCAGTTGTCTTGGCTTGGAAAGCCAGGTGTGTGCTGGGGAGTGGGTGTGGAAGAGATAAGGAAAACTGCCTAATTAACAGAAGACAACTGCCATACAGATGGCAAAGAGAACACAATTCACTTGGCAATCCAGGACAACAGTTTATTAGGAAAAGGTGTAACTTTTATAGCCTGACTTGCTAAGTTGAGACCTGATTGGTCTCAAAGTGAAAACCTCTCACCCCATTGGTGAGCTATGAACAGCACACTCTGGAGAACCTGTAAACAGTGGTTACAGAAAGAGAGATAATAATTGTTTTAATTCTTTCCTCTACCTTTCCCACAGCTTCCTACAGCTTCCCAGGATTTTCCTGTGAGAACTGTGTCTCTGTTCAGAGGATATGTGATTAATAATTAATAATTAGCATTGACTCTATGATTCACGGAAGGCTGATCAATTACTTTATTAGTCTTATCATATTATTCTATTATTAAGAAACCCATTGCTTTTATAGACACAGCTGGACCTAATTGGTCCTCCAATCTAAGCACCATCACCATTGGCTAATTAAGAAACCACCCTTTGGTAAACAAATCTGCATAACACATTTTACATGTTCACAGCAACAGGTGCAGCAAGTGGAGATAAGAATTGTTTCTCATTCTTTTCTCTGATCTTCTCACAGCCTTGGGAAAGCTGTGCCTCTCTCTGTGGCCAGAGAGCTGCTGCCACATTCCCTGGGGTACAAACGTTTCCTGGGAGCTGGGGATGGGCACAGCTCTGTTGATAATACCAAAAAAAAGCTGCAGCAAAGTTGGCTTTCTGCGGATAGGTCAGGAAAGAACATTTTCCCATGGCTCCCAGAGCGTGGCACAGGGCACCAGGTTGGGAAACACCTCCTGGTTCTTCCCAGCACGGATCTGGCAGGGCAGCCCTGGCCTGGGGCTGGGCTGCTGAGTGGCAGAAGGCTCTGGCAGGTTGCACAGGGAGCAGGATGGAGCTGGCTCTGTCTGCAGGCTCTGCTGGAGAGCTCCTGGCACTGCTCTGCCCTCCTTTCCCAGCGAGGGCTGAGGGTGCTCCCGTCCTTGGGGAGCAGGCTGTTGTGCTCCATAGGAATGAGGTGGGATTTGCTGCTTCTCCCCTGCATGCAGCTGGGAGATTCCCACCTCCCAGCTGCTTCTGGAGCCCTCCAGCAGCTCTCCCAGTTCTCAGCCCCCTCCTGGCACTGCTCTGCCCTCCTTTCCCAGCGAGGGCTGAGGGTGCTCCCATCCTTGGGGAGCAGGCTGTTGTGCTCTCTGCCAGTGAGTAGGATTTGCTGCTTCTCCCCTGCATGCAGCTGGGAGATTCCCACCTCCCAGCTGCTTCTGGAGCCCTCCAGCAGCTCTCCCAGCTCTCAGCCCCTCTCCAGTGCCTTGGAGCTGCTCACAAGCCTGTAGCTGCCACATCCCCAGGCTGGGACGCTGCTCCAGCAGCCCTTCACCTGCCCACAGGTGTTACCTGCTGGCCCTTTTTGGCTGTTGCCTTGTGCCAGAGCCTTGACTCCCTTCCTAACCACTCTTTTGGTCTCCCTAATCCAAATATTTTATTCTGGAGGCACCTTCCTGCAGTTTTGCACTCGGAGGGCCCTGCAGCACACTGCCCCTTTGTGCTGGGTGTCTGTTTAACTTAGAGGCAGCTTAATTATTGTTGAACACTTGCACTGTTTAGCTCCCAGCAGGTCAGCCCTCCATTGTGTTGGCTGTCATAGAAACATGCGTTGAGTAATGATCCCTGCTCCAAAGAGTTAATGGCTTTAATTCCCTGAAATCTGAGCGATCTTTGTGAGAGGGTAAGGTCCGGATTGCCACCGGATACCGCAGCTGGGAGCATGTTCTGTACTTTACCTTGGCTCAAGCACAATTCCTCCTTGCCTTTGTTCTGCTGCTTTGGCATCAGATAACAACGGATCCTGGGTCAGCAGCAGGTGACAGGGCCTGGGGCAAGAGCAGGAGGAAGGGACAAACAGGGACATCCTGCCAAAGGCTGGGGTGGCATTTGGGCTCCCACGGCTGGGCTGGGGTGCCCACGAGGCAGGGAGGGGCTCTGGGGGTGGCTGCTGCAATCCTGGGGTCTGGGGGTGATGCTGCTCTGCTCCCCGAGCCAGCCCAGCCTGCCTGGGCTCCCTGGGCCTCGCTCTCTGCTTGGGAGTTTGGGGCTGAGGCAGAGGGAGTTTGGGTTTGGGGTCTATAAGGAAGGACGTTTAGGGGTTTGGGACTGATGGAGAGGGAAGGATGTTTTGAGATTTGGGACCAAGGGAAGGATGTTTCTGGAGTTTGGGACTGACAGGGAAGGATGATTTTGGGGTTAAAGAGTGATGGAGAGGGAAGGATGTTTTTGGGATTTGGGACTGAGAGAAGGATTTAGGACAGAGGGAAGGATGTTTTTGGGGCTTGGGACCAAGAGAAGGATGTTTTTGCGGTTTGAGGCTGGGAGAAGGATGTTTTCGGTGTTTGGGACAGAGGGAAGGATGTTTTTGGGGTTTGGGGCCAGGAGAAGGATGCCTGGCTGTGTGAATCCGGGGCAGCCAGGGCAGTGGCCATCCCCTCTCCCCCCAGGTGTCCGCATGGGCAGCCTGGGCCTCTTCCTGCAGTGCATCACCTCCATCTTCTTCTCGACAATCATGGACCGGCTGGTGAAGCACTTTGGGACACGGGCAGTGTACCTGGCCAGCGTGGTGTTCTTCCCTGGGGCAGCCTTTGTCATGTGCCTGTCCCACAGTGTCACCGTGGTCACCATCTCCGCTGCCCTGACTGGATTCACCTTCTCTGCCCTCCAGATCCTGCCCTACACGCTGGCATCCCTCTACCACCATGACAAACAGGTGGGGATCTGCTCCAGGGCAGCCTGGCCCTGCAGATTTTTCTATTTTTCCTGTGTTTTAGGGGAAATTGGTCTGGTTGAATTATCCCCGTGTGAATTCTGCAGCTCTGCCAGCCTGAGGGGCTACAAAACCCAAGGATTTTCAGCCCTCACAGGTCCTGCTTTCCAGTTTTCATCCACAGCACCAGGATCAGTAAAATGAAAGCCCAAGCTCTTCCTATTCCCTTAGCTCCAAGATAAAGAAACCTTGTGAAACTTGTGACACCAGCACAAAAGCTCCTAACCCTGTCCCACAGATGTTATCCTTGTGGAGAAGTCCTAGGAGGTTCCTGAGTTGCACACAGGATTAATGGGAGTTCCTCTTGTGCTGCAAATGCAGAATTAATTTGTGGTTTGAGAGCAGCTCTTTCATCCCAAGGGCAGTGCTTGGCTGTGCTGTGGAGTAAGTGGGAGTTGTTACCACAGGCATCCAGATGTTCCCATTGAACAAACCCTTCGGAACAGCCCATCCCAATTGGCACCAGGAGTCCTGACAGAATGGAGGGGGTGAGGGAATGTTCAGCTTGGCAGGAGCTGCAGCTTGGCTGGGATCTCCCATGGATGTTTTATCAATGGAGTGAAACCCAAACTCCACAGGCTGGGAAGGGGAAGGCCACATTCCCCAGGCTTTGCCAAAGGCTTGGCAGGGAAAGGCAGGGAGGGCACAGCTGCCTTTGGTCTCTCCTGCCCCTGCTCTGCTGGTGTGAAAATGCTCTCTGGGAACACTCCAGAGACCTCACAGCGTGAGCAGAGCAAGCTAAAAAAGGGTGAGAAGGAAAAGATTTTGGTTCCCTCTGCCCCCTTTTTTCCTGGCTGGAGTGAGGAGGATCTGGGCAGGCAGATGAAGCAGCTTGGTTGAGGTCTGGTGCAGAGCTGAGAAAAGAGCCCTTCCCCGAGTTCCCAGGACTGTTGTGTCCCAGCTGGTGGCACTTTTAACATCCCAGATGAGAAGTGGCTGCTCATGCTGGGCTCTGGGTGTGGGTTCCCAGTCACCCACCCCACAAACCCCAGACATTCCTGTTTGCCCTGCCCTGGGTGTCTGATCTCCCAGCAGAGCCTGGCCCTCCACTCCTGCCCTGCCCCAGGTGATTTCAGGGTGGGCTCAGTGCAGGTTCCTTTGGCACCCAGTGAGGAGGTGACAAAAGCAGGAGTTGTCCCCAGGCTGGCTTTGGGCTGTTGAGCCCCAGAGCCTGAGCACAGCCCAGGCCTTGGCTGGCTTCCCCTGTGAGTCAGGGCTGCTTGGCATCCCGTGCCAGTGGGGAAGAGCCAGCCTGGCTCCAGAGCCCATCTCACGTGGGCCAGGCTCAGGCTGGCACTCCCCTGAACACACACAAAGCTCTGGTTTTGCTCTCCTGCACAAAAACAAGGCCCCCTCGGAGTCCCAGCTCCTTCCTCACTCACTTTCAGATTCCCAGCTCCTTCCCCACTCACTTTCAGACTCCCAGCTCCTTCCTCACTCACTTCCAGAGTCCCAGCTCCTTCCTCACTCACTTTCAGACTCCCAACTCCTTCCTCACCCACCTTTCAGTCCCAGCTCCTTCCTCACTCACCTCCAGAGTCCCAACTCCTTCCTCAGTCACGTCCCAAAGTCCCAGCTCCTTCCTCACCCACCTCCCTGGTATTTCCCACAGGTATTTCTCCATAAATTCAAGAGGAAAGAGGAGGAAGACTCCGCTCTGCTGGACAAGAAATCAGCCTTCTCCAAGGGGCTGCTCTCCAGCCAGAAGCTGTCTTACCAGAATGGCCACGCTGGGAGCCTCTTCTCCTCCTCCTCCTCTCCCTCCCCCTCCTCCTCCTCCCCATCCTCCCCTCCAGCCGTGTCCAGCTCTGCTCTGTGTGTCAGCTCCTCCTGCGACGTCTCCCTGCGGATCATGGTGGGGGAGCCGGAGCTGGGGGCTCCTGGCCGGGGGATCTGCCTGGACCTGGCCATCCTGGACAGCGCCTTCCTCCTCTCTCAGGTGGTGCCCTCGCTCTTCATGGGCTCCATCGTGCAGTTCACCCAGTCTGTCACTGCCTACATGGTGTCAGCCGCTGGCCTCGGGCTGGTCGCCATCTACTTCGCAACCAAAGTTGTCTTTGACAAGGCTGACATGGCCAAGTGCTCCGTGTGACAGCGGGGCAGCCACGTGGGTGGCAGAGCCAGCTCTGTGTGTGTGTGTGCCCACGGGGCCACTCTGGGGTGCCTCGTGTGGCACTGGCTGTCCCCGAGCTGGTGCTGCCACCCCAGGCGTGGCTCTGGGGCTGGGGGCAGCACGGGGTTAATCTCAGGTGTAAATAAGAGGCTTTGGGGCGTTGTCCTCAGGGCCTGAAGTGCTCTCCAAAGGTGCCTTTAGCAGAGGGAAGCACGGCACAGCAGCACCAAAGGGGTCCTGCGGGGGAAAAGGGAAGTTTTTGGGGTTTCCCTCTGGTAACGGGTCGTGTTCCTGAGCAGGAGCAGCACAGGGAGGGGCTCAGGCACTGCCTCCTCTCCTCTCCTCTCCTCTCCTCTCCTCTCCTCTCCTCTCCT